TCCTAGTGTTCTCTTATGATCCTTTTTATTTCTGTAGAATCAGTTATGTGCCCACTTTCATTCCTGATTTAGATATTTGCATCTTCTTTTGCTTTGTCAGTCTCGCTAAAAGTGTTGGTTTTTTGATCTTTTCATTTATCTCTGCTCTGAGCTTTGCTATTTCCTTCTCTGTGGTGCTCTTCTTTTTTCTAGTTTCTCAAGCTATAGACTTAGGTATTGAATTGAGAACTTTCTCCATTTTTTACTATAGGCTTTTGCTACTATAAATTTGTCTTTGAGCACTGCCTTAACTGTGTCCTGTAAGTTTTGCTATGTTGTGCTTTCATTTTCGTTCACCTTAATGCATTTTCTGATTTTTCCCTTGGTTTCTTCCTTGACTCAGTGGTTGTTTAACAATGTGTTGTTTAATTTCCACATATTTGTATATTTTCCAGTGTAATTAATTTCTAGTTCCATTCTCTTCTGATTGGAGAAGATGACTTGTGTGATTTCAAATCTTTTTAAATTTATTGAAACTTGCTTTGAAACCTAACATACAGACTGTGCACTGGAGAAGAATGTATACTGTGCTCTTATTAGGTGAAGGTCTAGTTGGTTTATAGCTGTAGATTTTTTTTCTTTTTTAATTGTCATTTGGGTGAAAGCTTACAGAGCAAATTCACTTTCCATACAGCAGTTCACACATTCATTGTCTCATGACATTGACTACAGTTTACCCCAATGCAATAGCTCTCCTCCCACTTCCTCCAGATAGTTAACCTTTTCCCTGTGTCCATCCCTCCATGCACTCCTGCCCCCTGAACTATCTCCCTGTGCATAAACAGCCCTTCTTTCTCCCATAACTGTTCTCTCCCAGGAGTGCATCTACCTCAGGTAAATGTTCAACTCTTATGCCTGTCCTTTGTTTGGCTGGAAGCCACAGGTGTGGGTTCAATTCCAGACCAAAAGGACAGCTAGGGACCATAGTCTCAGTGGTTCCACCAGGCTCTATCAGACCAGCAAACCTGGTCCTCTTTTTTTTGTTTTTGTTTTTTTTCCAAATGATTTTGAGAGCTGTAGATTTTTTAATAGTATTTACTCAATGTTTATTTTCTGGTTTTAATAATTATACTATGTTTCTAAAAGGTGTTAACATTTGGGGAACGTGAGTAAAGGGTATAGAAGAACTCTCTGTACTTTATTTGCATCTTCTATAATGCTAAAATTATTTCAAAATAATGATTCTTAAAAGTCTGGTCCACATGCCCTCTGTGGGCTCTGAGTAGTGTCCCTGTGCCATCTTTGAGAAAGGATATAGTAGGGTGTGAAATCACCTTGTAGAAAGCCAGCTAGCCTTTGTTCTTGGTTTTTTCAAGTCACTCCAACATCAGAGGCTAATGAATGAAGGGTGATACACCATGTGGACCTCCTGGGGGCCAAATGCTGACTAAGCTTCAGGAGACATGATATAATCTATCATGGCCACATAGTTGAGGTCCTTAACAGCATTGGAAGCTTCCTGGTTGGTGACCATGCACCAGAAAGGATGGCATGTAATTCCATTGGACATGGAAGCTCCACACTGTGACCTCTCCCAGACCTTGCCATATGTGTCCCATTTGTATCCTTTTTTTTTTTTTTTTGTTAAACTTATTATTATAGGTATGGTGCTTCCTGTGAGCTCTGTGAGTTGTTCTAGCAAATTATAGGAGCCAAAGCAGTAGTGGGAGCTGGCTAGTCTGAAGAGAAGGGAATCCTCAACTTACAGCCAGCACCTGCTGACCTAGCCCCAGGTGAATGGAGATGAGAGAGAGAAGGGCTGCATAAGCAGTTGAGGTCTGAATTAAAAAGGAAGGAAAGCAAAGATTTCCTCAGGATCCAGTTTCCACCACAAAATCTGGTATCTGATTTGGGTGATGCTAGGCTCATTGGACTGAGTCAAAGAGGTATTCAAGACTTCTGGTAAGATGGAGGAATAGGCAGACAAGTGACACAGACTCTCTTCAACAAAGAAAAGAAAAACAAATTGACAGAGATACAGAAGATAATCCTGGAGCCCTGAGCTTTGAAAGGAACTATACAGAAGTGGATTAGGCACCAAGTGGTAGAAAAACCTTAACGGAAACTGTGAGTACAGAGATGGTCAGAGCTGCAGACTGTCAGCTACTCTGACGGGACCAACAGCCTGAATATTTCCAACTGATGTTGGGACCTAAGAATTGACCTAAAGATCAGCCCTGGTCACCAAGGGCTGCAGGGATGACTGTGCTGGTAGTCTATGACTAAGTAGGGGAACAGCAAGGAGGGAGACAACCTGAGCTGTAGACCTTCTGCTGTCTGGAGGGCATAGCCATTTTGATTGTTTACATGTGGCAGCGATTTTGGATATTTAAAGTGACTGAGGGTACAGCCATTTTCAATCTTTACAAGTGGTAACCATTTTGGATCTTAAAGTCATAGCATTGTCATTCGGATTCCAGGAACCTAAGAATAGGCTCTGCTTGCCTAGGTCAGCAGGCATATATGAGTGGCTGACAACAAGAAAGGAGACAGGTGGTGAGTGTGTAAGTGCTGCCCACTAACAAACAGAGGAGCACAGCACAGTATCCTGGCTTGTGTAGACAACATACAAACAAAAGAAAAATCGTGGGCAAGTCACTCCAACATACAATCACCAATTAAATATAAACACAAAAATGTCACAATGCCTCAGAGACAACAAAGCACCACATTTCACACAAAGAAGCAAGATAAAACAGGAGAAACAAGGGACCAATATACCGACCCAAAACACATCCCTGAGGAAGAAGCAGCACTGGAACTCCCTGATAAGGAATTAAAAAGAATTATATTTAGGCATCTTCAACAAATTGAGAGACAGATCAAGGAAAACACTACAACAATT